CACGAAAAACTCTGAAATAGAAACTCAAACAGAATTAAATACCTTAACTGAGAAAAACCAAATAACTACAAAGAAGAACGATATGATGAACTATAGTAGTCAAAAAGATAGCATAGCTGACAGTTCAACCATGGCTACTTTAAAATCAGATGAAATGGATGCAACTTACAATTCTCATGAAAATGAAACTGAAACTAATGATTACAATAACAATAATGATAAAGCTGAACAAAATTCGAATACTGCAGAAACATCAAACCCTCTAGCACAAATTAGCTTTTCTCCGGACAAAGTTGACTACGAGAAAGTTGCAGGTGTTGTTAGAGAAATACATACTAAAATTACAATACCAACTAATGAAGCAGACAGCAGTTTAAGTAATCAAACCACATCCAATTTAGCTAATAAAGATTCGAACATAATATGGTTAGATATAAAATCAGATACAGATATTAAATCTTTTGGCGATTTAAATAACTCAAAACATCATTCTGAAATAGTTGATATTAATACATCAACTACACCTTGGATGAATATTAAATCTTCTGCTGACTTAATGAGCACAAATTTATCTCTTATAAGTAATAATAGCAATAATAGTCAGTTACTTTCAAACATCAAAGCAAATAAGAATTTCAATGAATTGTTTGAAAATATTTCAAGTGAAAATAAAACTGCTAACAATTCAGGTACTGAATCCATTGCTGTTTCAGGAACATCAATGAGACAAACTATGCCAATTACACATTTTGAAAACTTAATACCATCAACGACAAACTCTATTCTAAATGAAAATATTTCGAAGCTTCATCAATCGCTTACAGGTACTAAAATCTCATCTAACACTAACAGCACAAATAACAACTCAGAACAAAATACAAAAGCTGATGCAAATATCACCACTCCCGAAGATAGTTTACTGGTATCTGAAGCAAACCAACAAAAAGTCAGCAAAAAAGAGAAGCCCATTAAAGGAACCAAAACTCAGCATGTGTCAACTCCGGTACAAACTGATTCAACTAGCGTTGCTACATCAAACCGCCGTTGCTTGGAAGCACCTTCCCAATGCGACGAGAACTTAATGATTTTGCTAGCACAACGCAAAACTTACAAACAGCCAGCGGCATACTTCGTTTTCTTCTTGCGAACTCCCATCCAGAACGTTTTTGTTTAAATATTTCAGTTTAACTTCAATCAAAAATACCGGCTAATTCAGCTTCAAATATTTGGTTAATATGCGAATATAAGAACCAACACACAGACATACATTTTGACAGAAATATTGCTATCTTCAACTGGTCAACTGCTTCAAGCTCTTCCAGCTCTTCAAGCTCCACTCAAATGTCTTTGCTATTTATTTTCGATTTGCTCGACGTTGCCAAATGGGTTAAATTTGAGTTGTTTATAGATACTTCTCTATTAACGCATTCGTTACGGGTGTAAGAGGTCAAAGATGTGAAATTTTATTTCAAAAATAGATACCGAACATATAAATATGCAAAAATCATCATTTTTGTTGGTTAGTTTTACTTTGAACTCGTTCAGCATAAATTCACTTCGCTTTCGTGCATTTTAATGTTTCGTTTTTAATATAAATAAAGAATCACACAAAATGTATATCATACACTTGGGATTTTTACTAATTATATGCTCAGTAGTTAACATAAGTGCCGTAACTTTAACGAAAACTGATAGTATACAACTAAATAATTCAAGTACAGCCGGTGTACAAACTATAACAGTTACAGTATCTAATGTAAATCATCAAACTGCAAGTCCTAGCACAACAAATAAACCAACATTTGAAGTAAAAAGTGAAGAAACACCACAAGTGCCCCAATCAAATCCCCCGGTTATCATAAAGAAACATGTTAAACGCGAGCCTAAACCTTTAAAAATTGTCAGAAATCGTTTGATCAAACCAGCAACGCAAACTGTGAATCGAAACTCCTTAATCAATTATCAACCAGAAGTTGTCGCATCCTATGTGCTACAATTCGACGATGAAGTTGATGTTAGCGATGTTGAAAATGATGACATTCGACCTTTGAGTAATAGTAATTTAATTAACCATTTGCGTCCTCAAAGAATTCGCTATGTTAACAAAAATCAAAAAAGAAATAATAACAATAGAAAAAATATTAGAAATCCACAAAATCGTGTGAGCCCAACTAGACGTCCATATAGAGATCAATATAATAGTAAAAGAGGTGAACACTTAGATGTCTTACCAAATAAAAGAATTACCAAAATCAATCGTAAGAGAATCAATAAAAAACCAACCGCTCAGAAGAAACAACAATTAAAACCAATTGAACAACCAGAAGCCAAGCCAACACTACAACAATGGCCATTAAATCTTCCAGCAGTGCCAACATTATGTCAACCCGCACAACCGGGCACAATAACCCTTACATTACCAAATCCAGTTTTTAATTCTTTGACTTATGCACCAATGATGACACAACTTGATCAGATACAAGCAAACCCACAATTAACCATTGAATTCTTGAAGGGTTTATTATCTGCTCTGCAAAATCCTACTGCCGAAGCAAATAACACAAACTTTTTATTAGGTGGTAATATCGGTAATATGCAACCAGTAACGCCAATTAAAGAGACTGTAGAATCTACTGAAGATGCAGAACAAACGGATATTGTGATCGATGCGAATAAAGACACTCCAGAAGTACAATTCAATGTTGTTCCAGTGATTAATAAGCGTAAAAATTCAGCTTCATTGCGTGTCGCTGAAGACACTAAAGTTGACGAAGTTGTCATAGACTCAAGTAAAAAGACTACGGAAAGCTCTTAAGCTATATGACTTAGACTTTATAACTATAATCGTTGAAATAAAATCAAATAAAATATAATTGTATTTATTAATTTTTGTAAAATTTATATTAAATTATTTTTATTAAAATAAACAGTTATTAAAATAATTTGTTAATTCTATATTTTTAACGCAGAACTGATTTTTAACAAATTGCGAGCTCTAAGACAGGTACATACGTAAGAAGCCCGCTTTTTATATTAGAGAAGGAATGCGGAGACGACAGATTTTTGCAATGATAGATATAAAGTAATAGGAAGATGAAGAAATAATTAGCTCTTAAATATTAAATATGAATTAACTATTCAAATAATCAACTTTTTTTATCCACTTCAGAAATTTGTAATCTGTATTCATTTATAGTAAAAATTTAGGTTTTTGAGTTTTAGAAATTTAGTAAATGGAAACATACCTATATTTCTTAGAATTTTGTGATTATATATAAAAAACTAGCACAGTAGCTTTCCTTAGTCCTTATTTTTAAGGTTAAATAAACTTTTTGTGATTTTTGTGATAATTTTGTGATTATATATAAAAAACTAGCTCAGTAGTTTTCCTTAGTCCTTATTTTTAAGATTAAATAAATTTTTCAAACAGAAAGAGTATTTTAAGAATAGAGAAGTAATAAGTAATAAATGAGAATAAGTAATAAACTGCTAATCTAATGTCTAGAAAATATATCAACTATTTTCAATCATAGCAATAATTTTCATCGGAGTACAAAAAATGTGTACCATTTAACCAAATTTAATTGTTTATGACCACTTATATTAAATTTCTTTCTGCTATTGCATTAAGACTTAATAATTCCAGAAAAAATCAGATATCATATTAAGTGTATCAATCAAATTTCATACTACTTTATCATATACAAACGCCTTTTTTAGACTTGCAGACTTTAATATAACTAAAGTCATCAACTTACATTAAGACTGAAAAGTTTTCGGAAATTCTCATTTAAAATTCGCGCGCTGTATATTTTTCGATATTTTAAGTTTATGTAGTTTGGCAGCACTGTCCTTAATTACTATGCCAAAATGAGCGCGATCTGTCAGACAGTTCGTTTACGGCAGCTGTTGAAACCAGTTCACCTCAGTAGTGCGTTGCGAAATGTCTTCGACGGTCGTACGACCGTCCTGAAAGCTTTGTACCACTCATAAACTTGAGTTTTCGATAAAAACTGATTCCCCATAAGCCTTTTGTAGCATTCGCAACTAATTCTGCACACGAAATTTCGTTCGAAACACAAAATTTGATGCAAACTCTTTTGTTCAATATTTTTTTCCATTGTTTTTTTCGCAACGCACTACTGAGGTGAACTGGTTTCAACAGCTGCCGTAAACGAACTGTCTGACAGATCGCGCTCATTTTTGGCATTAGTAATTGTCCTTAATTGCTGCCAAACTACATAAACTTAAAATATCGAAAAATATACAGCGCGCGAATTTTAAATGAGAATTTCCGAAAACTTTTCGGTCTTAATGTAACTCAAATAATACATACTTAAGTCAGATATAAGACTTAATTAACGACTATGAAATATGTCCTCGGTATTACACAGGTCAGTGTTGTAATTACACATGCAGCTGCTTTCTAGGGGTCCTACATAGACATATTTCCAAAGCAAAAGAAAAGGAATCATTTTTGATTGTTTCATGTCGTAAAATTTCTTCTCCACAAACTGCGTATATATCTCTTTCATCTCACTGCGTTTTTCTCTTATTATTGAAAAATAGAACATATTTAATTTCTTATGACATCCCCATGAAAGAGGAAGATATTCCTTAGCAATTGGGAAAGACAACGTTTTTTGGGTATTTTTCTATAGCCAGTCTTAAAGGAGTTATATTGAAATATGAGAAATCTGTATCTGGATTTGTTCATGCCTTGTTGCCTTTAGAGCAAGAGGTGCGTAAAGTTAGGTAAATGTGGCCGTCCGCTTCTTATACTGGGAGCGGACACACTTTGCCCAAATTTCACATTTGCGTTCAATTTGTATGTAGTTTGCTTTTTCTACTGCTACTGGTTCAAATGTGATTCTTCCTAATTTTAAAATCCCTATGTGCTCAAATCCATATTATAACCGGATATTATGTCCAAAGCCTGCAGCTGCAGTTATTTAATCTGCTGGTTAGTTAGAAATATAGAAAATGTGGCATTGTGTGGAAAAAGACATCGCTCAATAGGTTCACTGGATATAATTTGATTCTTTCAGTTGAGTAATGATTTAATGTGATTACTGTTAATAGGTACTATAGCCAGCTACTATAGCTAGCTACTATAGCCAGCTACTATAGCTAGCTACTATAGCTAGCTACTATAGCCAGCTACTATAGCTAGCTACTATAGCCAGCTACTATAGCTAGCTACTATAGCCAGCTACTTTAGCCAGCTACTTTAGCCAGCTACTTTAGCCAGCTACTTTAGCCAGCTACTTTAGCCAGCTACTTTAGCCAGCTACTTTAGCCAGCTACTTTAGCCAGCTACTATAGCCAGCTACTATAGCCAGCTACTATAGCTAGCTACTATAGCCAGCTACTATAGCTAGCTACTATAGCCGTTGGGTATTAAGGTCGGTTTCTGTTAGAAAGTAAGGGTTCAAAATACTTTTACTTCGGGATATGATTTTTCTATTTATGAAACGAAAAAAGTTCTAAAATTGTGTAAATTCCATTTTCAGTACTTACTGACGAACAAAATTTTAGAAGCTTTAGTACAACTTTTCAATCTTTTTATCATTAAGGTTGATTCTTTAATTTTGATGGTTCAAATTTAATTTTTTACAAAATATATTAATTGCGAGTATTTATGTGGAAAATCGTGTTTTTCAACTTACCTTTTTTTGATATTATATATCTGAATTAATACTATAAATATACCCCCAATCAAGATAATTTCATCTTTTAAATCTAGAAATCATTTTGCGTATTTATGCCATATAACTTGAATATAACCCCAATGTAGTTATTCTTTGTATACCGGCTGATATATATAATGTTGCTATAAGTTTTTCGTTTACTCAATGGATATAAAAACATATATTTAAACAATATATTTAATAGTTTTCAATATTTGTTTAAAGTTCAATGCACTTACCTAACATAAAATATAAACTTTGCTCTTTAAACTTCTGTTTATATCTTTTTATAATCCGGGCTAGTAGAAGATTTTAAAGTGCACGCAATTTTCGGCTTAGGAAAAGGTCAATATATTGACAAGAGCCCGAGGCGAGTTCAGAAAACAAGTTCTTGAGATGTAAAGTATGTTTTTTACACAACTTAAGTATTTCTCTTGAAATGTGTGGAATTTTATATTTACAAACTCACAAATAATAAAAGTTTCTTTGGTGCGTGCCAACGGCAATTTTTATTGTTATTTAAATCTGCTACCATTTACAAAAATGTATTGAAATTGCTTATATGATGAGAAAAAAAACAATACAAACACTATATATGTTGAATCAAATTTAACTATAAATGAAAATATAATAAAAAATGTTTATTTTATATATAGTAATTTTGTCAAGCTATCAAATCTTGTTAGTTTTCTAGAGCATTTTGTGCAATAATCATGTTCTTTAAGTTGTCAGCAAAAATTTTTCAAATTTAATAAACAAAGAATTTTATATGAAATTGTTAAATTGTATATCAATTCACATAAAAAATGATTATAAAAATTAAATTAAACCAAGTATAAAAAAATAACGTAATAATATTTCTATTAATATTAGAATCTGAGGCAATGATACTTAAATTTTTGCTCTATTTACTGCTACTAAAAAACTTGACAGCAAAAAGAAACTTTGAATATGGAAACTATTCCAATATGAGTGGCATAAATGGCTTATTTGCAATTCCGAGTCAATATGAAATCCTTATATATCCGCCACTCATTTTACCATATCCATTTCAACATATGAAGCAGCTTTCAATAGACAAACAAACCACCGCTGCAGTAAATGTAAGGTCAAATCAAACTTCAGCACTGAACTCAGCGGTAACTGCAGCAACTTTGACGGAATCTAACAATGCAATAGCAAATATTACAACAATAATAAAATCTAATAAAGATGTAACTATGGCGTCAAATGTAGCAGCACCACAACTGAGTTTGAGCACAGAACGGCCACTTCATCTAAATCCACACTCAGCAGCAAAAACAAATAAAACAAATGCTCAACTCATTTACAAAGTTGGAAGCAATAAAAAGTTGACAGAAGCCACCACTTCATCTCTACACTGGAATGGCAATTTTACATGGGTTTATGTCGATCAGGTTTTAGTCGGACTGCTGCCAATATCGGCTTTGTTGACGCTTACAAAGCCGGCAATAACAATTTTCAACTCAGCAAAGCGAAAGCCGAGACTCATCCGCAAGAAGAATTTTTATGCTCGACAGATGAAGAACAAGATTAAAATATTTAAATTGTTGAGATATAAAAAAAGAAACCAAAAATTTTAAACAAAAGACAGACTCGTATCTATAATTTTTCAATAACAACAGACTTTATGTGTGGAATACAGTCTTGTGTGCAGAAATCGTTGACCCGTTGGAGAAGAAACTGTTATAATAAATAAATTTTCTTAATAAATTTATGCAAATTAATTTCTCTTAGCATTTAATCATATCTAGAGTTATATATTTTATTAAGACAAGCTCATTTAGATATATGTATGTTTGTAAAATTTTTTAAAGAAATCTATTTAGTATAGCAAATTTAGTTAAAATAATTCACACATATGAACATATATTTTATTCTGTATTTTAGCTCATTTCTATACGTCTATTTTTTAATTATAATAAAATTATAAAATAGAAATCGTCAATAATATTAACAAAAATAATAAGATCAAACATTGAAAAAAATATCCCAAATACTTAGTCGACTTACTGTTTTCTACACGTACCCATTTACTTAAGGAATTTTCAAAAAACGTCTTTCATACAAAACAAGCGATTATTTCCGAAATGATCAAAAGAAAAGAATTTTTTTTTGGGCAAAATAAATTATCCAATTAAATAAACAATAAGAAACTAATGAAAATAGAACGAACTTGTACAAAATACCTCTAAATATTCAAAACGATTCTAAATGAGCTAAAGAAACAGAAGCTTAACTGAATTTTTCAAGAAGAACTCAAAAATTTAACCAGCATCTACAAGTATTTGGATCTCATAGTTAGCTTAAGACATTAAGGATACAAAACTAATAAAATATCTAAATATGAGCTCAGTAGATTAAATAGTAAAGATTTGGAGGAACGTAGATGTGAAGTATATTTAATTACTTACTAATTTGGCTTTAATAACCCTTGACGGTATTCAGCCCGACGCAGCATGTCTCTTGATGTTGATCACTTCATCAGATATAGAAGTGATCACCTTCTTCCCCAACTACTGCTTCAAATAACTTTTTCACTGGACAAAATATATCTTCTTTAACCATACTTACGACATGACCTAGTTACTAAAGCTGCTAGATGTTAATTCACTGAATTATATCAATGTCGTGATAAAGCTTATGCATCAATTTGTAGCGGACCAAATATTTTATATAAAACTTTTCTCATGAAAACTCCCAGTGCTGCTTCAACATTCTGCGATAACGTTCATGCTACTGAGTCATACAGAAGCACAAGTTAGATGAACGACCTATTGAGCGTAAATTTTGTTTGTTGAGAGAGAACTCTACATCCCAACTACTTACTATGCTCCATAGTAGCATCTATTAGTAATGGTGATTATTCATCTGATCTACAAATGGACATCGTTATTGTTTACCATAACTGATTAAATTAGACTTACTTTTATTTTCAATATTCATCACTGCATAAAGTACCAAGGGATATACCTGATATATACATAAGATATATCTGGAACATCATGCAATCGTGAAAATGACTAAATCTCTAGAGTTACAAGTAGTCATTCTATGTACAATAGTCTTAACATATTTATAGCATATTAAACATAGTATAATCTAATTATTAGTTTTTTGCAAAAATTATACGATATTAATTTTCGATCTGCGTTCAGACCTTCACTATTTCACTGCATATTTTGGTATCTGTCCTGATTATCACTCTATCGTTAGCCAATTCTGTGTGTTCGCTCTCATCTTTTTCAGTATATTTTCGGGATTTATTGGTTCAATCCGGACTAATACCACTTCTTTAATTGTGAATGTATGGGATATTATTAGAATGCGTATTTTTGTTAAATAAATTGTTAAATTTAATTTAATAATTGTTTAAAAATATACTACATTCGTTCAATTTATTTATTACTAAAATGTTTTCCTAAGCAAGTCTTAACTGAACTCCATTTTTTACCCTCCACGTTCACTTCATATATTTTAAAAACCTACTACTTCCATTTCAGTTACTTATTTCCAATATTTGTCTCAAAGCATATTTTAGTTAACCTCTATTTTTTTCTTTTAAAATAATAATTTAAAAAAAATTTTTTTATAATACAAAAAAAAAAACGAAAATATCTATGAATACATTTTATTTTAATATAAATTTTTATAAAATTGTTGCTATTCTTATCTTAATATTTAAACTAAAAATCAGTCCCTTTTCGTTTTATGTGCATTTGAAAAGTATATAAAAACGGAAATCACCTACTAAACAAATATGACCAGTAACCACCATTCTCACTATTCGTCTTATGTGTCAATGTTGCATCCAGCGAATCTTCTTGATTGTTAAGTTTGTGTCCCTTTCGTATTTCCTTTGATTTCCGTGCGATTTCCTCATACAATTCTTCGGCTGCACTATCGAATATGGTATTCAAAAATTTTCTAATTTCCGCATATGGTAACGTACGCCACCAATTTGTCGGTGCAATTTCCGCTTGACTTTTTATGCGTTTGTCACCACTGCTATACGGTGTAGTAGCAACACTATCTGATATTGGACTACTGCTTTCTATATGCAACTGAGCTGTTGTGGTATCGTTGTCGGTATTGAATTGGTTTTGATTTTTCTTTAACTCAAAGGATTTGTTATTAGTGTTTTTCGCACTATTAACGCTGATATTTGGCAGTTCAGTTTCTGTATTTTTTGCACTACTCAACAAATGACCATAAGAGTTCCGTGCAACAGTGTTGTCAAAAGTTAGAGTATAATAAGATTTCTTATTATCATCCTCATCGTCACTATCATCACTATCGTCACCACTACCAAATTCTGTATCATCTTGATTAATGTCATGTGACATATTAGGCTGCTCAGGATTATTGCTAAAAGCATTATCATCATTATTTTTCTGATTTTTATCGTTTTGAGTGTCATATGTTTGTTTGTTATCCTCACTGGAAATGTCTATTGATTCTTTTTCATTTTCAATTGTTGACATTTTATTTGTTTCCATTTCTTTACCACTTGTACGTGTTATGCTGTCACTATTTTTTTTATGCACTTGCACGTTGATGTCCTTATAGGGCATTTCTTTGACATTTGCTGGCTCATGTTTGTATTCAGTATTAATGTTATATGTGTAGTCTCTAAAATGGTCCACTTCGTCATCGTCATCGTCATCGCCATCGTCATCGTCATCTTCTTCATCCTCAACAGCAACAATATCAACAGTATCATTATCATTATCATCATTATCATTATTATTATCATGAGTATTATCATTATCATTATTATCATTAGCAACATCAATGTAGTCCACTTTATGCTCCTGCTGAAGTGTGTGACTGTTATCGTTTTCAACATTGTCGTTACCCACAGTGTCATTGTCTTTAATAGTTTCAATGGAACTTTTTTCATCTTTAATTGTTGCAGCACTGTCACTTGCCGCTGCCAAATCGGTCACGTCTGTGTTGGTATAGCAATTTACAGTGGAGGTCACCTCTTCTCGTAGCGTTTTTAAAATGGTTTTATTATGTTTTTCAGTGTCATTTCTATTTTCAGCTTTAATTGCAGCTGTCATAATAATATTTTTATTATTTTTGTCAACAGTAGAAAGAGATGGAGCAGAAGTAGTATTAATATTTGCATTGCCATCATTTTTCAAGTGGATTTTGCTAGCCGCAGCCTTGTCATTTGCACTGGCTGTTGATTGTTGTTGTTCAATAAATTCTGAACTCTCAATATTGCTAGTCTCTTGCATTATGTACTTTTCTATTAAACTAGCCAAGTGCTCCAGTTCCTTCTCTGTAGTTGATATGACTGTTGTGGATGGTGTGTCTGGTGTGTCTGGTGTAACTGGTGTAACTGATGTGTTGGTGACGAGTGTTCCATTTTCGTTTGTTTGTTCTATACCGATTGTTGCATATGTTACAGGTAATTTTAGTGGATTCCCTACGGGAGACAACAATTCAGTAGATTCACTGTTGTTTTTAGCGTACTGTATGTGGCTACCAACTACAATACTTGCTGTAGGTGCAATGGAATTTATGGGCAATGTAACAGTGCGTTCTGTTGTTACATGTTCCAAATGATTTTGTTGTTCATCTCTTACCACCGGATAGAAAGTACCATTTTTCTGGATAACTGGCTTATTTGATAACATTGTATCGGTTGTGGGGCCATTTGTGCTGCTTATGTTATCAGTTACTGCAATATTTGGTATTTGCAACTGCTCATTCGAGTTTATTTGTGTAGTTGTTTCAATTTGCTTTAAGTCTTCGATTATGGAGCTTAAATTTAGAACATTAGAAATTGGTAAAGTAGCAGTTGTATCTAGCATTGCAGATATTTTATGTATAGCAGTCATATCCACATCGTTATCTGCGCTTACGTTAAAGTTATGATATATAGAATCATGTTGATATTGTGCATTATTAGTAATATTATTGAATTTTAACTTATTATATCCAGTTCCTTTTTCACTTGGATTAAGTTGACTACTCGTTTGATTGTTATTCTCTAAAGTAGGTGAATAACTTATAGCTACTATTTCTTCCTCCAACTTTGTGCTTGAATTATCAACACCTGCAACATACTTTGTATTCCCTTCCAATATCTTAACACTTGTTTCATCGATTACTTTCACAATTGGATTTGTTGCGCTTGACCAAGTCACATTTCCAAACAATGTCGCACCGTTTGCTGTAGGTGTTGCAATAGTTGTAAATAAATCTTCCATTTTCTCACTTGTATTTGATTTAATGTCGAAGTTATTGACTTCAAGATTTGCAGTCGCGCTACTTTTATTACTAGAGATACCCTTAAAATCGTTCGCCATGACAGCAGCATTCATTTTTGTTGAATTTATGTTGTCTTCGTAGTTCGCTGCATGCAACAAATTGTTTTTGTCTGAAAGGGAATTTATTGTTAAATTACTGATTTTCATGAAATTATTGCTACTCTTATCTGTAATGAGATTTGTACCATTTACAATGTCAATTGCTGTAGGATTTTTTTCAATTGCTTTAATGGCAAAATCTATTGAGTTCATTGGCTGCTTGACAGTTTTTGTTAATGCTAAATCAGAATTATTAGACATTTGAGTATTTTGTATAGATGCATTTATATTAACAGTAGGAACTGCTTTATTATCAACTAAATAATCTCCCATTTTGATTACTTTATTTGTTAGTGGTGTATTTATAATAATTTTCTGTACATTAAAATTATCATTTGAAAGCATTTCAGTCTTAGGGTCTTCTTTAAGTATCTTTTCATTAACATTTGTTTCATTATCTCTAATATTTTCAACTAAATATCCTATAGTTGAATTAGCCGTAAATGTTTCTTTAAAATTTGTTTCATTATCTCTAATATTTTCAATTAAATATCCTATAGTTGAATTAGCCGTAAATGTTTCTTTAACATTTGTTTCATTAATCCCAATATTTTCACTTAAATATCCTGTAGTTGAATTTGTCATATTTATAAAAGTTTCCTTCGCACTTATTTTTTCAAAACTTCCATCCGTTTCGTTTCCATGTAAATAACCATCTATTTTTTTTACTTCCGCTAAAGGATTATAAAGAATTGTATTTGTATATTTATTTTTAAATTTATTTCTTTCACTTTCACTGCTTATTGCTTCTTCAATTTCTTCAACGTTCTTATTTATAAAAACTGACTCGTTACCCAACACACTACTTGCATTTACTGCACTTTGCATTCCTACAAACTCATCCTTATCCACATTACTTGAATTCATTGCACTTTCCAACACTTTTTGCTTAGTTTGTTTCTGATAGTTTTTTAATGCTTCATTCAAAAACTTATCTACTTCTTGATCCGTTGTTTTTGATTCCAAAGTAAAACCATTTTCTAACATGGTCTGTGTACTTTCCTCAGAAGTATTTAAAATTTCTCCATCAATTTGATCTGTGTTCCTATCCATAACATCCTTTTGCTCCTTTATTTGTGGACCATTCAACTGCAAATAATCCAATTGATGCTTTAGCTTAACCTTATCTAATTCTTTCTTTATAACCAACTCAGGATTTTGTAGTACCTCTAGTGACTTATTAGTATCTGTTTCATTAGCAGTTTCGTTCTGCACTTCTTCGCTCGTATTATCAATAATTGCTTCCAATTCATCAATTAAATCTTCCAATCCCACTTTTACTGTCTGTTTAATTGGTTTCGTATAAATTAAATTTATTGCATTTTCTTCATTAACTAATGTTTTATCCAGTTCCACTTTTTCATCGAAGTCATTGTTAATTCTATTTTTATTGTCATTTACATTAGCATAATTAATAACTTTTGACATTTCTTGTTCTTCAGCACTATTCGTTTCCTTCTGCAATGTACTTGTATTATTTAAAGGATGACTACTCACTACATGTTTAGTATACACCTTCCTTTTACTCTCATCCAAGTGCTGTCGCGAGTCCAACAATACTTCCAAGTTATCTTCCAGTGCGGTTGTTCCCTTCTTAGCTGCATTGTTAGTTGCTTCTGATGTTGTTGCATTTTGTGCTTCATTAATCAAATTGTTCATTTCTATTGTCCTGTTTGCATTTTCTGTATAATTTTGCACTTCATTCACAAACCCTACTGTGCTTTCCCTAATTAAATTTGTTGTGCTTTTGTTCAAATTTTCACTCGTAGTTTTTGCTGTGCTGTCATTTAATGAATTGTTTTTGTCAACTTTTGGTGCGCCTTCATCCTTTATTTCTGAACCAATTTCTGCAGTAGTTTTCACTACTACAACCTCGGGCGGTGTCACCTCTTTGTCCACCAGGCTACTCATTTTGACAAGCTCTTCCATGAGACGTAGTATACGTATTTCATTTTCCATAGCGCTATTGTAATTGGATTCTGAGTGCAAGTCAATATCCTTAGTCCCAGTAATTGACGCATTTCGCTCAAAATCATACTCCGCATAAATTTCGCTGTTTTGCGGCTTTCTAGTTAGTAAACTTTGTAGATTATATCTGCGCTTCACTGGTCTATTAAATGCGTAAAATTGTATATCGTTCGCTGCCGCCACATTTGCGGGGTTACTAAACTGATGCGCCGCCGTTTGCGTCTCAAAATTTGGACGCCAATGCTTCTTCTGTGCGAACTTCGTATGAGCTTTTCGGTACTTCTCATGCTGTGCGTTCAGCGATTTTTCTGCGAAGTAACAATTTTATTGACATAAGTTTATTAGTGCCATGAATTCACTAACTTATTAAAAATATTACTTACGCAATGTCTGTGTCGTACAGACGAAAATAATCATTAAAACGAGATACACTAAACTTTTGTGACAAAATAACATTTTTATAGTTTCAAAAAAAAAAAAAATCACTTGCACATTGATAACTCAAAGGTAAAGGCCACTACAGACTAAACCGATTCTTAGTTATTCAACCAATTTTATGGCCTGTTACACAAAGACCTTTTAATTAGGTTAAGTCGCCTGAACAATACTCAACCAAAATAGTGGATTTTGACACATTTAAACTGTATTTAGCACAAAAAGTTTCAATAAAATTCTTAGAAAGCACAGAAATTCAAAGTCTAATAATAACAGTTCTTAAGATACACTGGTTAACACGTCCCTACTTTTAACTCAAAGAAATAAACAAAAAATTAATAAAACACCATAAAGAGTAATAAATAAATTCATAAATAATAAATAAATAATAATAAATAAATAATAAATTAGCAGTTAAATATATATTTTATCACCAAAGATATTAACGTGTTATCTAAACACTGACATTGGGATCAATGGAGAGATGTTTTGAAGAAGACTTACGCCTAGCACCTGTTTTAGTTTTCTTGATCTTGATATTAATACAAATATTTATGACAGCAGTCGCATAACGATGAACATAATGTTTATAAATCCCATTTTTATAAAATGATAAAAAGTATTTCAATTTTCAGATAATTAGCACAATAATATTTTTTTCATATATTGTAATGACATAGAATGTTCGTCCATAATTACAATGGACACAGTGTTTAAATATTAAATTTAAATGTTTATTTATTAGGTTTTATTGCTTAATTCTTACAAAGTTTTATATTGTATATGTATGTTGTGACCTCACTCTCTGTCTGTGTCCTCAGTTCTTTTCACCTTGGTTGATAGTTTCAAACTCGTCCTTGGGCTAATTTTCGACTAAGTGAGTTTTAGTAAGTTTTTATATTCAATATATTAAATAAAAATTATTCAATTTTTATTTCAGATAACTACAATTATATTAAGTACGTGATATTTTATAGTATCTGTAGAAAACAATGTGTTGTGCTCTTCAAAAATTTATAAATTCTATACTGATTTTATATAGGTTGGAAATTGATAAAAAATTACCATCCTTACAATATTTAAGATTTTTCTGATATGTAGTGCTTCTGACTCATATACATTATTCGTTGTAAAAAGAGAAGAAATAATAAGATTGCGATACTTTCTGCTCAAAAAGTACTCGGATTTTGGAAATAAAAAACACAAATTTAAATTTTATTTCAAATTTATTTTATTTCCTTTATCTCCTCCTTCTGAAGGGATACACATATGCCAACGCTTAACCCAATCTTCCATACACTTTTCGTAGGCCCGTACAGGTATGGCTTTTAGTTCCTTCAGCGAATTTTCTTTTACCGATTCAATCGACTCAAAATGCTTAAAACAAAGTGGCAATTTAAGTTTCGGGAACAGGAAAAAGTCGCACGGATTCAGATTTGGCGAATATGGTGCCTGAGCGATGACAGTGGTGCCGTGTTTGGTCAAAAAATCACGTAAAACAAGAATTTTCCATAGTAAAAATCGCTAAATGCACTTGAGGTAGTCTCACATTAACAGCTGCTGTAAACAAACTAATTGACAGATGGCGCTCAAATTTATACCAATTTTTTGAAAAAGGTCTATTACTTAAGGAGTAGTTAACAAACAACAAAATCCGGATACTTTTTGAGCAGAAGGTAATGATAGCTTAAAGGCATTGAAGACAAGAAACTAAAAATGATCGATGATTATTTTATCGCTTGCGTAACATAACACTAAAATTTTAATTACAATGTGAAAATCAAGTTTACTGCTTTGAATATTAACTTTACACATTTCATCTGGTAGATATAGATATAGACTATAGATGGTTATCTGAATTTTATTAAAAATTAGGTTGGATGTTAAGGAAAGATGTACTGTCACCAGAATAGGTTATTGCTAAAAGTCATAGTGTTATTGTTGAAGTCATACCAGTCATAACACTTATAAATTTGGTCCGTCTTTCCTAAATGTACCAAGGTGCTAAACAACCAATATTTAACCATAAGTTCACATTTCAGCAAAAAAAATACTAGTTAAGAACAATACAATGCTAAATGAATGAATAAAAACCAATATTTTTCAAAAAACTAGATTCCCTTCTAGCCAATCACTGTCTATTATCTATTATCTTGTAACAATTAATTGGTCACAATTCTTGGCTCGTGGTTCTACAATGATAAAATGATTTTGATTATACATTAAGACCGAAAAGTTTTCGGAAATTCTCATTTAAAATTCGCGCGCTGTATATTTTTCGATATTTAAGTTTATGTAGTTTGGCAGCACTGTCCTTAATTACTATGCCAAAAATGAGCGCGATCTGTCAGACAGTTCGTTTACGGCAGCTGTTGAAACCAGTTCACCTCAGTAGTGCGTTGCGAAAAAAACAATGGAAAAAAATATTGAACAAAGAGTTTGCATCAAATTTTGTGTTTCGAACGAAATTTCGTGTGCAGAATCGTTGCGAATGCTACAAAAGGCTTATGGGGAATCAGTTTTATCGAAAACTCAAGTTTATGAGTGGTACAAAGCCTTTCAGGACGGTCGTACGACCGTCGAAGACATTTCGCAACGCACTACTGAGGTGAACTGGTTTCAACAGCTGCCGTAAACGAACTGTCTGACAGATCGCGCTCATTTTTGGCATAGTAATTAAGGACAGTGCTGCCAAACTACATAAACTTAAAATATCGAAAAATATACAGCGCGCGAATTTTAAATGAGAATTTCCGAAAACTTTTCAGTCTTAATGTATTTCAAAATGTCCTTATATAAATATGATTATTTTTGGCACTATGCGTTTTGGCTAAAACTAACACAGGACTTACATCAACATTAATGTCCATGAATTAGGGAACCCACTGTTCCATCAGTTGGGTAGCAGTAAAGCTAGCAATAAAAACAGAATATTTTCAAAGGATATATATTGGAAATAACACTAAGAGTATATATATACCCATCTTTATATATAAAGTAAAGTGCACACAATTAAATGGCAACAAAATAACCTAATGATTAAGATATCTGCTCCAAATGAAATATAGTTAACTGCACTAACTATATCATATGTGCATACATGTATGGCTGAGAGCCATAAGAAGAAAAATGCTACTTATCAGATCTATCTTATCACTGCATTTGTCAGAATACAACTTTATTTCGTTGACCCTTAAAGTGCCTATCCGGTATTAGTTATATAGACATGTAAAATATTGTCTGCTTAAGAAAAGCGCCAAATAGATTTATCAAGCTATAATAAGTGACCCATATTTTATCGTTTGATTCTGCAATGAACCGATTTCTTATGATTGAAGTCAATCTTATGCCACATCGATTGGTTCAACACTAAATTCTTGCTTAAATCTTCCTCTCTCTCCATTACTTTTTGAAGGTGTTTTTCTTTTTCCGATCTGTTACTAATGCAATGTACCAACGAAAGTAAAAATGCTTTAATATTTATTTTGTTAACTGGTGTAAAATGAGAACATATTTTATTGTATGTGAGATATCATAAATATTAAATCCAAACATTAAACAATAGAATTTGTTTTCATTTCGTTGTACATTCAGATTGTTAAATATTTACATTTATACAGCTTTACTTTAATTCCTTTTATTATGCTAATTAAATAAATCCCATTCTTCAGATATTCCGTAACATTTTTTTTTTGTAAAGTCAAATGAATTTCCATTTGTGGCCAAGAGATACTTCTTCTCCTATGCACCATATTCTCAGTATTTCATCTGTATTTTGTAATTATTTATGAGTTCATGTTTTAGAAATATTCGTGCTTTAGGGAGAAGATGACCAATGAATAATTTCATCTTAATAACATTGTTTTTAATCTGTAACTTTATTCAACTTTTTTCTGTCAAAATTTTGTATTCATAATAAGTACTTTTGTTGTTGTTGAAGAATATTTATAGATAAAAATTTGGTCCAAATTTAAATATAAGAAAATAGAATTCATATAAATACATGTTAAAAATATTTGCAAATAGAAAATCCAAAAAATCTATAACATTTAATATATGTATAACAATATATTTTTAACAAAATTAAATTAAATATAATATGTTCTAAATAAATTCTACATTTTTTATACAAAAGTTCTATTCAGAAAGGTTCTATTTTTGAAGTAGAAAGCACAGTTACATTTCAGAATATATGTGTATTTTATTATACTGAATATCTTCCTTAATTAAAAAAATAATTCACCTACGAGTTCTTTTATGTTCTATATATTGCTTATATAATCAAAAATAGTTTCTATAAAATTAAATATTTTTATAAATAGAATACCCTAGAATATTCCATTTTCTAATAATATAGAATAATAAAGTAGAATAGAATATTTAAATAAATAAATACCAAAACATATAGAGGACTATTTTCTCTTCATTTAATTTATGAACTTATGAGCCTTTTAATATTATTTTATGTTGAAGCTATTTGAGCCAGTGCACTTGAGCACTTTAACTCTTTCTTAACTCAAGGTATTTTGAAAACCGCTCTTTGCGGATTAATGTTTATCACTTCATCAGACTAAGCAATAATTGACCACAGATCTGCACACCTCCCCGAGGAGCTTGTAACCATTCTGAGATTTGCTAAAGCGGTGTTGGTAAGTCTGTCAGTTTTCGTAAGTAATTTCAGGGCTCTATCCGTTATGTATTTTTTTAATCGGATTAATCTTGAGTATGTCATTCGTCCTAATATACCATGGTACTTCGAAAAGTCTTCTCAGAGCCTGGCTTTGTGCAATTTCTAGCTGGCGAATAGTAGTGTTTGAAGCTTTGCTAAACGATACACAACCATATAGAAGTGACGGACGAATTATTTGGCAATATATCAGTTTCCTGTTCTTAGCATTGAGATTTTCATTTCTAAATAACGGTTGGAGGGGATGAAGAATTTTGGTAGACCTAATTCTTTTCAGTTGAACATGTTTAAGCCA